TAAAACTAAAATAAAACTAAAGATAAATAATAAATAAATAAATAAATAAATAAATAAATAAATAAATAAATAAGTGTTCTCAGCACTCACAGCTACAGCTGTGAATGGTCGATCAGCTCCAGAGGGGCACTGGGGGAGAGGCCCCAAAGCAATAATATAGAATCTATCATCAGCTCTGAAACCACAGAGGGGCAGCAAACCTTTTGGGAGAGATCAGCACTGACCATCAGTTTTCCTTTTCTAGAGAACTATTTTCTCTGGCAAGCCCTCATCTCTTATCAGGTCCCCAGACCCAACCCCCAGCCTCAGCTTTAGAAAAGTGAATCTTCTTTAAAGAGCCAACACTTGACCTGGCTGGCTAAGGGGTAGAGTACTGTTCATTCGTCATGGAAAATTTCCTAAGGAAAAGAAATGCATTTATCTTAATTCTGCCCTTATGTTTATACGATTCTTTTCCTGAGGACTTCTACTCTTAATAGAAAGGAGAGAACGAGGAAGACAAGAAAATCTTTGAAGAACATACTTTATAGCCCTATGTACTAGGTCATGGCTGATAAACCAAGCCCCTTCAAAAGACTTGAGAGCAGAGTAATTTAGATTTCCTTTATCTCAAATAACCAGGGCTGTGTGCTCAGACCATTCCCTGGGTATATCCTCCTTCTTTGGAGGCCACCTATTTCAGCCCATTAGACTTGCCTGAGAGGTTGTCTCGGGGTTACCATTGCTTCCCAGGACTTTAGCTGAACTCTGGGAAAGGCAAGCTGAGGGACTATTGAAAAACACAGACATGAAAAATGGAGCTAGTATAAACAACAAAAATTTACGTTATACAACTGGCAGAGGTTTGCCAGGGAGGATTTTGAGTGCTGGAATATATTTTTAAATCTCCACGAATAACTTAAGATCTAGGTCAAGCCAGGGGCAAAATAAAATAAAAATAACGAAAATAAAATGAGAGAGATACTGATTTGATTCATTTTCCCATCTGTGAATACCCTGAGATGTAGGCTAAGGAGAAATGCTTGTTAATTTGTGCAAGGGATTTTTTTCCTCTGGTTTACTGTGCTATCCTTCCTTTTGGCCTCTGTCACTCAGTTTCAAACATCATAGTACACTGATGCTTTAAACCTGCTTTGCAAATGCTCATGTCTAGTAGTTTGCTTTCTTCTTCAAGCTCAAACCTTTGAGTTCTCAGGCCTTCCATCAGCTTCATGAAATGCACTTCAGCATTGCTCTTGATCTGTCTGCCCGCTCCTCAACCCTACCCTTCTATCACCTTAGCCTTCTAGCCCCCTAGAGTTAGTTCTATGTGGAGTTCTGAAGACACAGGTCAAATTTGCCTTTTGAGCTTTCAGACCTCTCCAGCCCTGTCTCCTTTTCTTTCAGGGATCTAATGATCATACTATATCCCATATCCATGCACAAATCACCAGCATTTTCCTGGACAAAATTACCTTTCTCAGAATCCAGGGCTTAGCCTTCTGGAATTCTCTGTATCTGCTTCCCTCAGAAATCCTGGTAATAGGTAAGAATTCGAAAACAATAAATTTAGGCCAAGTTGTTAGTACCTGAAAACTGACCTCATAGGTGAACCAGTTGAGCACTAACAATAACAATGCAATTTTTGATTTCATTCTGTCTCATTCTGTTTCCACAGTCACCCTGTGAGGAGGCATAGAAACATATTACAGATACCTGAGGTCTCAGTTAGGGGCAAGACTTGTCTAAGAGGATGACAAAAGCTTCTCACCCCACTCAGAGTAAAACTAATCTCCTTAGCATGGCCTTCAAGGTCTTTGGTGGTCTGCCCTGTCTTTCCCTCTCATCTCATTTTCCATGACTCTCTGGCTCTTTACTTCTTTTCATATTTTCTGCTAAAGTATAATTTTCAAAAATTTAAAAACATCACTTTCATAAAAGTATAAATTCCCCTCATTAATTAATGAGAGAATTAGTAACCTGTTAATATTGTTACAAAAAAGAATTTGAAGAACAAAGTATGTAGGGTGACAGAAATGTTGGCATGAATTTACTAATAGATGCAAAACTGGCTAAAATCCAATAGGAAAACTAAGTGTAATGTTTGGAGCAATAAAATTGACAAGGCTTTTAGTTAGAATAATAAAAAAAAAAAGGAAAGAAGGCTCAAATTATAAAGTCAGAATAGAAGAGATATCATTACCAACCTTACATAAATAAAAAAATTCATAAGGGAATGCTATGAACAACCACGTACCAATGAATTAGATAACGTATCTGAGTTAGATAAATTTTTAGAAGACACAAATTACAGAAAATTACTCAAGAAATATAGAAATAATGAATAAATCTTTAACAAGTAAAGCAGTTGCGTTAGCAAGTTTAAAATTCATCAAATATTCAAGAAAAATTGATACCAATACTTCAGAAACCCTTCCAAAAAACACAAGAGCAAGGAACACTTCTCACTTCATTATCTGAAGTCAGCATTTTACTGGGTCATCATACAAAGAGACATCACAAGAAAACAAAACGTCAGATCATTACCCCTTATGAATATAGACCCAAAAGTAATAAACAAAGCACAAGAAAATTCAATAAAACAACATATAAACACATATATACACTAAAGCTAAGTGAGACTTATCCTAGAAATGCAAGGTTTGTTTAACAGCAAAAAATTACTTAATGTAAAATACTATACTAATAGAAGAAAGGGCAAAGCATTTTCTTATGTTCTTTCTCAATGAACATAGAAAAAAAAGCTGACAAAAGCCCAATGCCCTTTTAAGATAAAAATGCTCAACAAACTAGAACTAGAAAAGAACCTTCTCAGCTTGATAAAGATCGTTATGGAAAGCCTACAGCTAATATCATACTTAATAGTAAACAACTGAATGCTCTCCCCATAAGATCAGGATTAAGATGAGAATGTGTTCTTGCAACTTCTATTCAACATTGTAATGGAGGGTCTAGCCAGGGCAATTATTGAAGAAAAAGAAGTGAAAATGAAAGTCAAAGGTTGAAAAGGAAAAAGTAAAACTATCTCTATTTGCAGATAGCAAGATTTTGTATATAGAAACTATTTACAATTTCACTGAAAAACTATTAAAACTGGTAAATGAGTAAGTTTGCAGAATACAAGATCAATATGCTAAAATAAAATAACTGGGTTTCTATGCATTTTCAGTAAAATTTCAAAAATGAAATTAAGAAATCAATTTTGTTTATAATAATATTAAAGAGAACAAAATACTTAGGAATACATTTAATAAAATAAGTGCAAGACATACACCAACATCATTGAAGGAAATTAAAGATCTACTGAATAGAAAAATAGTCCATGTTCATGGATCAGATGACTTCATATTTTTTAAGATGTCTATGCTTCCCAATTTAACCCTCAAGTACAAAACTATTCCAATCAAGTTACCAGCTGCTTTTTTTGCAGAAATGACTAATTGGTCCTTAAATTAATTTAGAAATGCAAGGGACCCCAAAAATTAAAACAATCTTGAGAAACAAGAAAAATGTTAGATAACTCAAACTTCCCAGTTTCAAAATTTACTACAAATCTATAGTAACCAGGAAAGTGTGGTACTGACACAAGGTTAGATGTATAGATCAATGAAACAAAATTGAGAGTGCATAAATAAACCATATTTTTACGATCAGTTGATGTTCAACAAAAGTACAATCACAATTTAATGAAGAAAGAATACTCTATTTAACAAATTGTGGAGGGACATCTGGACATCCACATACGAAAGAATAAATGTGGATCTCTACCACATAACACATACAGACATAAACTGAAAATGAATCATAAACCTAAATGTAAGAGCTAAAACACTAAAACTCTTAGAAGAAAACAAAAAAATAAACCTTTGTGGCTTTATGTCAAGTGATGGTGTCTTTGATACAACATCAAAAGCACAGGCAACAAAAGAAATAATATAAATTGGATTTAAAATTAAAAACTATTATTTTGCAAATAATACCATCAAGAAGTGAAAAAGGCAAACCTCCTAATGGGAGAAAATAGTTACCTATACAAAAACCACAAAAATATAGTTATCTATACAATTGAATATTATTTGGCAATAAAGAATGAAGTATTGATACATGTTACAGCATAGATGAACCTTGAAACCATTATGCTAAGTGACAGAAATCAGTTTTGAAAGACTGCATACTGTAGGTTTACATTTACATAAAATTTTCAGAATAAGCAAATCTATAGAGACAGAGGGTAGATTAGTGGTTGCCTAGGGCTTGGAAGATGGGGGAAAGCAAAACATGAAAAAGAATGAGAAGGAGCTGCTAATGGGGATGGGGTTTCTTTGCAGGGATGAGGAGGAACAATAAAATGGTCTAAAATTAGATTGTTGTGCTGTTTGTACAACCCTGTGCACATACTGAACAAAACTGAATTTTAAGCTTTAAATGGATGAATTGTATGGTATACGAATTATATTTCCATAGAGCTGCTTAAAATGTATTGTTTGGGACTCTCTTTTCTACAGGGTAGAATTCAGTCACATCTCTACTAGACAAAATTTGTTGTATTTCTTTAAGGAGGATCATTTGCGTTACTGTCAGTTTTCCACAAGTAAAATAACTTAGAAAATAGAAATTCAGTTAAACAGAAACATCTCAATATAATCAGATATCCCCAGAGGATATCCTAGACAATGCTCAGCCCTCCACTGAATGGATACTCAGGTATCTCTTGCCCATTTCCAAGTCCTGCAATTTTCCTTGAAAAATATGAAGCTTGTTCTAACCACAGGACCTATGCCAGTTCTATCCCCTCTACTTTAAGCATTCTTCACACATATATTTACCTGGCTCATTCGCCTTTTTCATTCTGGTCTCTGCTAATCTGTTAACCTCTTATTAAAAGCTTCCCTAATCACATGTATTAGTTATGCTTAATACATTGTCCCACAAAGCTGTGGCTTTAAACAACAAATACTATCTCAGAGTTTCTCTAGGTCAGGAATCCAGGATTATCTTACCTGGGTGGTTCTAGTTCAGGGTCTTTCCTTCCACTGCAGTCAGAATATTGGTAGGGGCTGTAATTATCTGAAGGTCTGACTGGGGCTGGAGAATCTGTTTCCTAGATGGCTCCTTTACATGGCTGTTGGCAGGAGGCCTCCATTCCTTGCCACATGAACCTCTTTATAAACTGTTTGAGTATCCTCACATGACAGCTAATTTCCCTAGAGGAGACAATCCAAAAACAAGAGGAAGAAGACACAGTGGCTTTATTATCCAGCCTGAAAGCCATACATCATCACTTCTACTTTATTCTATTTGCTAGAAGAAGTCACTAAGCCAAGCTCACACTCAAGGGGAGGTAGCTTAGGCTGCACCTTTTGAAGAGAGGGTGAAAGAGTTTGTGGACCTATTTTAAAGCACTATACCACACCCCTACACAAACACATCTCCTTGTCTGGTACTTTCTACTGCCTTATTTGATTTTTGCTTCCTTCATAACATTGGTATTATTATATTATATATGTATGTGTGAATTATTGCTTTCCCCACCACATTATAAGTCCAATAAAAATATTGCATTATTTCACACTGAACACTCAGCACACAGAATAGTACAAGACGTATATTAATTCAATGACTGTTTTCTTTCCTAATTAAATGAACATATGGATGAAGTTATAAATTACAGGGGCAGAACCATGCTTGGAAGCTAGGTACAATGACTCCTAACCTATGCTATTCCCAGTATTTTACCCTTAGTGGAATTCTAATGGTTGAATGCACCTCAACAGTGATTCTGGGTGAGGAAAGAGATCTTCCCAGTCCTCCATGAAATCACTCAATTGAGACCTCTTCCACTCTTCACAGTCTAAAACAAACCCTGCTGACCAAAATTCAAGGAAGTCTTTCTTTGATCCATATGCACAAACAAAAACCCTCTCATCTTTTAAGAGTCTGCACGGGGCCTTGGAAGAGTGGGATATGTCTGATACCCCACATTTTCTCCTCTCTTTGTAAAGAGGAAGTTTAATAGCACTGAAGCAGCCTGGAGCTCAGGGTTTAATACAAGCATTGCAACTGGGTTTAGGAATAAGAGACCTTGAATGCTACCTTGCTTGTTCACTCTTGTTTATCCAGGATTTAGCAGCATTTCTGAAGCCAAATGTTGATGCTCCTTGGCTCTGAAGAACAAGGAAATCCACACACAATTAGGAAGCAGACGGTAATGGAAAGTACATGGGATTGGGCATCCACATACTTTGTATCCATCACTAATTTGCTGAAAATTGTATTTTTCATACCTGTAAAATGGCAGGGTGTGGCTGAGGAGAGTATAGACAACTTCAAATTCCTATTCAGGTTCTACTGTTTTGTAAGTTCGGACATGTCTTAGCATACCTTGGATAGTCTTTGCCAGTTTCTTTCCAGGTATTTCAACAACAATCAGCATGGGATGCACTTGCATGTGCCTCTCCCTTCTCTAGCAGCCTTCAGATTCTAGGAAGATGATGTGTACAAAAGAAAAAAAACAAGCCATTTCTCAGTGATCTTTTTAGTATACAGAAAAGTGATAGGAGACACGGAAGACAAACTGCCTACTTCCTGCACAGTATGAGGCAAAACACCAACTTCAGGGGACTGGAGAATGGAAGTCGTCGCTCTTCCCTATCACCTCCCAGCCAGTGGGAAGTCAAAAAGAATGGTGACTCCTCATGCTTACAGAGGGCAGTGTTATTTCAAAGACTATGGTGAGTTCCCCAGCCCTCAGCAAGGGTGCCATCTAACCCCCAGCTCTCAGCAAGGGTGCCATCTCACCACTCCCCCTTGGTACCCTCAATGGAGCTTCTAAATCAACACCAAAGGAGGCGCAGTCTTTAGGGAAACTCCAAGCCTCAGGAACCACCTCATTAAACTGGTGTCTTAGCTGAAGAGACAGAGGTGGGGGTGAAGTGGGAACAACAAGATGTTCATATGCACCCTCTGATTAATTTACAGGGGGAAATTGTCTTATAACTTTCCACCTGAGTGTCTGCCTCTGCATAGCCATGGAGCAGTACCCTGGAAACAGTAACAGTGATGATAACAATGAGAACAACACCCACTCTGTTTAAGCTCTAGCCCCAGGCAACCCCCTTACCTGATGTGACATCAGAAGGAAAGCACATGGGATTGTCTCCCTTGGGAATGTCTGGGAAATCCTATCATTGCTTGGGTCTTGGGCTGCCACATTTCTATCAAAAGCAAAATGGAGAAAGAAGAATTTAAAAAGTTATTGGGAAGCAAGGAATAAGTGAAAGGAGAGAAAACTCAGTTTTTTGCTTTACAGCCTGTGATATATGCAAGCTAACCAATTAAAGAATATCAGAGCTAGAAACGTTCTCAGAGATGTAGTCCAATGTCCTCCTGTTTTAGATGAAGAAATACCACAGACAGGTGAAGGAATTCATTCACAATCTCATGGTGTGAGGACCACTTGATGGTTAGGAGTTATGGTTGCAGACAGAAATGAATGGGCCTGAAGAGTGGAAGAAACAGGTGAGAAAGCCAAGATACTGATTTCTATTGAGTTTTAGAAATCATGATCAATAGTATTAGTGACTCTTAAGGAGGGTGATAAAAGGGGCAGAGTCCAGGATGTTCTCAGATTTCTAGCATGGGAGACTGGGTACATCTTGGTGACATGTACTAAGATGGGAGAAACCAGAGAGGAAACAGGTCAAGAGATTGACACTGTGTGTCTTATTTGAGAAGGAAATTCAGTTGCAACACCCAATAATCAATTAGGGTTGGAACCCAGGAGAGAGGTTCCGATTTGAGAGACAACATTTACTGTGGGTGACAATCAAAGCCATGGGAATGGATGAGGTCTTTGAGAAAGAATTTGTAAAAGGGAGTGGAGAACAGAGCATCTGAAAGAGATGGCTGCTTGAGAGGCAGAGAGAGATAAAAGAAATGGGGAAACTGAGGAGTAGCCAGTTGGGTGGGGGGTAGAACCTGGAATAGGGATGTGGGAGTCAAGAACAGCTCACTGCAGAATGTAGCATCCATGGAGCCCACATGTGCTCAGCCAGGCTCTCAGACCTTTTGCTCTTTCCTGGTCAGGATAAGGCAGGAAAGTCTCCAACATATTTGCTCTGATTTGCTCTCCTGCATGTCCCAATATGAAGTTTTGAGGCTCCTGAAGCAAAGTCAGTTTTCCCAGATACGACCCAGAGTGAAGCCTCTAGAATCAGCCTCGGCTAAGAGAGTTCCCAAATGCTCCATATAGCCCATTCGTAGTGTCCTGCATTGAGGGTCAGGTAAGGGTGCTGCTCTTTCGGTATCTGTTAAATCACAATGACTCGGACTGTCTCGTGTTTAGAAGACTCACACAGAGCTTTGCAGAAAAGATGAGAGGAAGACAGAAGAGAGGAAAAAGAGTAAGGAAGAGCACGGGAAAAAAAGTAGTGAAAACAAATACCTAAATAGAAGTCCCTGTGCTTTCAAAGCTTTGATTTCTCAAGCAAAACGTTCCTTAGGTGAAAAAGCCACCCCTTATTCATCTTTTATTTTTACCTTTCTAGTGTTTGGTGTAAAGTAGGAGCATAAATCCTGTCCCATGAATTCATTCAAGAGTCCTAATGCTAATTCTATCACAAAAACCAGCACAAAATGCCCAAGCATTCAGTCTAACAGGGTTTGAGACCCAATGTGCTGCCCCTTCATACTTCTCCTGAGAGCGATTTTCCTTGGTTACCCTCACTCTCCCTTTCATTGGGTTCCCCAAGCTCTGGCTTCTCCAAAGCATTTGAAGAATAAGTAGCCATTCTTCATGTGACCTGTTCATTTTTTTCAAAATGAAAAGTTGTACAAAGTATGCAGAAAAGCATAAAAATATGCATTGGTCTTAAGAAGCCCAGGGCTGTCCCAACATATTACTCCCATAATTTTCCACTGTGGGTGCCCAGATGGGTTAGATGGTGCTCAAGATTCTTCAGCTTATTTCATGACTTATGCAGCCAGCTCCTCGGGAGGTATGGAAAATGAGAGAGCCCAGTCTGGAACCTCAAACCTTCAGACTGCCAAGGCCTGGTAGGATTTCCCCAGCATCCAATCTTCATCCTTAAAAGGGTCTGCTCTGCCAAGGACCCATTCTCTTGATTTCAGCTCAATGATCTTGTCTGCCTTGGCAGGGCCTGCTCACAACAAGCTTGGATGTCATGGAATTTCGGGGAAGAAAGAGGATTAAATACTTCTCCATGTTACTTCTTGCCCTCCCTGAAACAGTTGACTGGACTCTAACACTTAGTTTGGGGAAGAATTTTACCCTGAAGCCATCTGGCAAGGCAAAAGACATGTCTTTTCATATTCTGCTTTCCTTGGGAGTAATAGGCCAAGAGAGATTCATGTTTGCCTCACAAAGAGGAGGTGACTGTGGTTTCTGGAGACACCTCGCTTTAAGGCAGTGGAGTCAAGAGGGAAGAGGCTGGAAAAGCAGGATGCTTACTTTACCTCCACCCCTTACTCCCCTGGGGACTTGTCTATGGTTAAATCCCTAAAGACTCTCTTTTCACACTGATAAATCGGGGGCAAGAACCACATAGCTCACCTCAGTTTAGTAAGGCCAAAACAAGAGAGTAGTGAGCATTTGAGACGCACTGACATGGAAATTATAAACAATGAAGCCCTCTATAAACAGGCTCTTGGCTGAGTTTTAGAGGAGGATTTCTTCATCTAGTTTGGGGCAAGTCAGTTCATCCATATAACTCGCACAAATCTGATCCAAAGTGTGCAACTCGATTCCTTCTGCATCTCCTTCTCTCACATTGCTCATTTCTACAGGACACAGTATATTTCAGCACATAACTGCACATCAAGTAAAACTGACTTGGAAGGGGTGGCAGCTAACCAGAATTTGAGTTCTTGTTCGGTGACATGGAATGTATGAAGCAAGGGCCTGGCTAAACAGCTTTATATAATATGACAGAGTAAAGTAGGGTAGCACTAACAAAGAAATCGAGTAAGCCTTTGGAGTTTCTTGTCCTGACCAAGTTCACCTGTAGTGAGGAGAGAACACCCATTCATGGATCACTCAGGTGGTGACAAGGAGATGAGGTAATGCCTTTACTTTCACAGCATATGAGTGGCCTCTCTGGGCTGTGGGCAGAAGCTGCCATGGCCTGGAAGAAGGTCCTGCCATCTTTAAAGTGCCCCCATATCACCCTTCCACATTCCTTTTGTTTTTGTAAATGTATGTCTGTCTATATAATCTCTCCCTCTATCCTGGCAGGAAACTCATTTTGTAATGGAACAAAATCAGTAAGCCAGAGTGTCCACTAAATCACTGTTGAGATATACAAAGGGGCTGGGTTGATACTTGGTGTAGAAGAAAGAAAGACAAAGTGGCCCTGAAGATGAGCCTGGGCCGAGAGAAAACAGATAAGGCACCCTGAGACCTGGGAGGCACAAGCATGACGAATTTCTACCTTCTTTCTTGGGTACAGTGTCAACCAAATGTGTCTTTCCACTTTACATCTCAAAACTCAGGTAATGGGGTAGGAAAGCTTAGTGTAACTGAGACAGAACTGAGGACAATGAAGTCTGCTGGCCTGGCTTCCCACTGTAATAACATACTGGACATTCATCTCAGCTAAGCTACTTCAGACAACAAAGGAAAGGTGTTAGGATGTCAAATAATTAGGACTAGGCCTATGTTGCTGCTGTACATTGTATTTATGCCTCGCTGTGTAACACAGAGCAAGTCACTGCTCTCTGGAATTTTTCATCTGCAAAATTATATTACAGCTAAGAACTAACCTACCAGAGGGCAAGAGAGTTCCAGCCCTTTAACACCCTGGTATTGCATTAGGGTTGCTCAACCCAAGGGTCATGATGCGTAATTCTCTGTCCATGGAGCGTCATTTGTGTGGCTACAATTTCCTGCTGTACCCCCAGCCCAACACCAGGAAATCTCTCCTCTGTTTTTTATCGATCTTTTGTTCGTATGTGCTATTTCTTCTTTTCTTTGTAGGTTATGAGAAATGGAAGTAAAAGAGGAGGGCTAGTGATCTAGTAGGAACTGGATTTCAGTTTTGAATCTGAGCACTTGGTGACATGAGATAGGGTGTTGATAGGTTCACCCATCACCTAACAGCAGAGCAGGGAGAAGATAAGACGGAATGCCAAGCACAAGAATAGATTTCTGAAGGGTCCCAGGACCCATGCAGAGGGGCCAGACCCACACAGCTCCCTACAGTAACTTAGGAGCTGGCACGAGGCAGTGAATTTAGGGGCAGTCGGTCCTTCACTCGAGGTATGTCCCTTTATGGTCTGGCAGCCAGGTGTATGCCAGCTTTTCAGGGGCAGGCACTGAAAGCTGCTGTGGGAAGCACAGCTGGCAGACCCTCCAGATTCTCAAAATTTCACCACTGTCCCTGGTATGTTGGCTAGGCTTGCCTCACTCCTTTCCCTCTTACTAACTCTCAAGAAAGGGATGCCAACCTGTCTGCTTTGTCTGGGAGACTTCCGCTGCATTTCTGAGAAATACTGGCTATTAAGAATACTCTGGTCCTCCCCAGTTCAATCAGCCACAGACAGGGTACTTGTTCCCTCCTTGCACCTTGAGGGACAATCCACCCACCTGCCTCCTCAGTCTCAATGCTTACCCAGCCTAGGCTGGAGCCCACCTGAAATGGGGAGGGCCAGGACAACTCTATTCAGAAGCAAGGGGTATAGGAGACTTTGTAATGTTTGAGGCTTTGGGTTTCTGAAAATATCACTGTGTTTTTGCTGAGTCATGGCCAGTTTTCCTGATCTCCATTTTTCCTCCTACTACTTTTGCCCCTTTTGTCTGATCCTCATTCCTTGGAACTCAGATATCACAAAATGTCTCCTGGGAACAGATGCAGTGAGGCACTGCTACTCTCTTTCTCTCTCTCTCCCTATCACTCTTTCTCTCTCTCTCTCTCTCTCTCACACACACACACACACACACACACACACACACACACACACACAGGAAACCTCATGAAACCTACAGGAAAAAGTGTTAGGTTGGTGCAAAAGTACTTTGCGATTTTTGTCATTCCTTTTAATGGCAAAAAACACCATTACTTTTGCACCAACCTAATAATTGGCATATTCAATTACTTCTCAAGTGACTGATTGCCTAATTTCTTTTCCTTTTAAAAAAAAAAGTACGTTCTATCTGTGGAAAACAATATATAGTTTTGTTTTTAAAATTATTCAAACTGAAAAGTACAAAAAAGTTTTAAAAAATCACTCCAGTATTCCATTATTAAGACCATCCTTGTTACTTTTATGTAAGAATGATTCCTGTGATCTCTCAATGTATACTGATAGGCATAATTTTATAACAATGAGATCTTACTGCTGTTTACTTTTTAAAATCAAAAGTGTTAAGTTTGTCTGAATTTAGACTAAGAAAAAGATTATTATGAACCTTTAAAAATTCCTAATATAAAAAATGTCACTTTAACACACGAAATATTCATTCCTAAAAGGAGTATTTTTGTTTGGGGTCGGGGGAGAAGCTGCAAAACTTTAAGATGTGGGAATCATGATATTTTTTAACTCATATATTTTAGACCCTGGCTTTTAGGGCCATGGCTTGTATTTTACACCTGTTTTAAAGCTATGTTCTTCAAAAATAAAATTAGAACCCACCAGATGTTTTAATTATTCTTTACACTCTTGCTTCAACACTTTTGCATCGTGCTTGCTATCTATATAACACTAAGAATCCCTTTCCACTGGGACAATAATCTAGAAAGGGGGAAGAGAAGGAGAGGTTAAGGAAGAGAAAATCCATTTGAAGCAAGGTAGACTGACTTTCTGCCTAATTCCCCCTTTCTTTTAGCAATAACAGTTTAATAATTAGCTTTAGCCAGATTTCTGGACAATTAATCCTCCCACCACAACCTGCCTTACACCATTGTGACTTGGAAAAAAATTAACCCCATTTTAATGGTACTGATCTACTTACATATGTTCTTATAAAACTGCTTTAAAAATGGAGTATAGGTAAGTGTAACGCTTAGAAAGCTATGGGGCATGTTTCAGCACCAAACCATCACTGAATTCAAAACAGCATGGGTACACAGGTATTCCAATCTGTACTCACATCTCTCCTAACATATTAGGATGTGCCATAGGATAGGTCAAGGTTGCTTATTAAACTTTCGATCTTCTCTTGTTCTTTGGCATCCCAAACCCTCGGACCTCTCATACTTCCTACCCCAGGAGAACTTGCCCTTCCATCCACAGCATTTTATCCTGCCATCTTGGTCCCTCAATCTTCCTCCTCCTTTTCTCCCCTTCCAGTGTGCTCCGCAGAAGTCATGAGCCTGGGCGCTTGCCGCTCCCTCTCAGGAATGCGCTTGCCTTGCTTTCGTCCTTTCTCTTATCAGAGAGGGGTGGGGAAGAGAGAAGATGGCAAATATGCCGTAAGAGGTGAAAGGCAGGGTCTGTCAGCTCCACTCTGCTGATGATTGGTGTCATGTTGCACTGGCTTTGTGGCTGGGCCCTTGTGAAATGTGGGAATAGTGGTGGGGTGAGGGACAGATTATTTGAAATTTACCATCTCTATCCTGTTGGTTTTGTTGGTTTCTCTACTCCTAGAAGCAGAGGGAAAAGAGGCGGACGTTAAATATGTGGTGATGGTACTACCTTTTAATCGGTGTCTCCAAATATCCTCCAGAGCCGATTGTCTCAGCATTGGCAAGCATGAAACCAGGGTCTTTTTAAAGATCATTTTCTTTCTTGCACCGAGGTTTCTTTGTTTGTGATTCTGAGTTCCATTCCTGTGTCTCTGTGGTGGGCCTCCAATAGAGGACTAGAAGGAGAAGAATAAGAAGAAAAGTATATATCAGGTGCTTTTAAAAAAATCAATTCAAACAAAAATTGCAAAAGGGTGTCTGGACAGCTAGGATGACAGTGACCAGAGCCGGAGAGAGGCTCTGCCTGGTAACAGAGCTCTGATTGGCCGGACCTGTGCAAGGAATAGGCCTATAGCGACGGCTCTGAGCTGTGCTTCTGCAGGCAGCTGAACTTGGCAGGCCCCAGCAAGCCCTGCAAAGACAGGCTCAAAACAATCCAGAGTACAGACAGCTGCTGGTAAGCAGAAGCTGTGAGTACTGACAGCACTTGGGGTTGTGAGCCTGCCACTTAACTCTACAGCCTACTGCCTCTGCCTCTTGTGGTTGGATTTCTGTCTTCCAGATGATTAACTCTTAGAGACGTGGTCTTACCAACAGTGGTAACACAGGCAGGGAGTGTCTTTGAAAAACAATTGGCCAGGGAGTCAGGTGCTGGGGTCTAGGTCTATACCAGGCATTAAATACTGTATGTGCATGAACAGGGGACTTACTGTCTGCTTGACACTGTGGTACATGCTCCACAACACCAATCCCTCATACGGCCCAAGGAGATAGAAATAGTTATTATCCCATTTTCCAGAGAAGGGAACAGAATCAGGCCCAGCACGCAGTGTGCAACTATTTGGGGGCATATGTGGACTCTCAACTATCTACCCGTCGACAGCAGTTCAGTGTCGACTGGAAAACAGGCTGCTCTAAGGCAATGATGTCTTCTGGCCAAGTTTGGGCTGAAATTGAAGTATTAGGTGGAGCGAATTGTTCCTCTTATTAAAAATAAAACACTGGGAGAAAATATTGAAAAACAATGACTATTTTTAAGTGAGGAATTAATAGACATTAATTAGTAGATATTTGTATTCACAAATTGAGTACTTGAATGCAGTTTAAAATGAAGGGACTGGCCAGGTTTAGTGACTTATGCCTATAATCCCAGCACTCTGGGATGCCAAGGCGGGAGGACCACCTGAGGCCAGAAGTTCAAGACTAGCCTTGCCAACATGGTGAAATCCTGTCTCTACTAAAAATACAAAAATTAGCCTGGCATGGTGATGTGCGCCTGTAGTCCCAGCTACTCAGGAGGTTGAGGCAGGAGAATCACTTGAACCCGGGAGGTGGAGGTTGAAGTGAGCCGAGATCACACCACTGCACTCCAGCCTGGGTGACAGAGCAAGACTCCATCTCAAAAAAAAAAAAAAAAAAAAAAAGGGACTGTATCTATAAGCATGAAAATATATAGTTCAAAAACATATTGTTTACTGAAAACAAATCGCAAAACAATTCATGCAGTGTATTATTCAGCCAAAATTTTAAAACTACAAAGCAATACCATCTATTGTCTGACACATACAATCTGTAATAAGCTAATAAAAACATGGACTGGAATACTATATATCAAATTATTGACAGTGGTCATCGCTGGAGAGAAAGAAGCAAGACTAGGATGGAGAGGAGGAACAAAATGGTTTTCAACTTTCACTGTGAGATATACTATCTGAAGCCTAAGTGACAAAAAGTGAACATTTTGAATATGAGCAGGGGATATGTGTATCATATTATTATTCTGTTTTTTTCTGAATTAGAAAAAAATAGGAGGATCTTTCCTGGTGGCGTCTTGATTATGCCATCCTGCTCATGTGATGGCAAGAAACTCATCCATGGTGCTATTGCTCCTAAAGTGTGTGTGCTGTTTTGAAATTAAAAGAAAGCAGGAAAAGTCAGGAGTCCTCTTTTCCAGAAAGAAAACTTGCAGAACCTGTGGAGTTGTGTCCCTATGCTATTGAAAATCCTTACTCTTCCCTTCCCTTCTCAGCCAGAAAGCAGCCTTTATTATTTTTTATTTTTATTTTTCGTACAGGGCTCCCAGTCAGCCTCAAGGGTCTATGTATGCTAATGTGATTGTTGTGTTATTCTAACCACTTCAAAAGTCATGTTCACTTATCTGTGAAAACAAGTTCTCATTCATTGCACCCTATTTGCCTTCATGTCTCAGGAAATAGGGATGGGCAAATCACGTGGCAGGTGGGAAGAAAATAAAGGAATGTTGTACACACACCCTACTCTGAAGACCAGAGTGGAAAGGGAACCTATCTGTGTATCCCAAGGGGGCTGTGAGCAGGAGAGAAAGACAGAAATACAGCAGAGAGATGTGACTTACATGTCCTAATCTCCCCACTCCTAAGGTGAACCCCAAGATTAGAAGGAGGCATAGTGAACATTTTCCAGCTAGATATAGAAGGAACCTGAGAATATCTGGAGGAGGTGACCAGTGACACTGTTTGCTAAACACATCTTTAGGGAGACAGGGAGCATCTTGGAGGAGCCCCACACAGAGCCATATTCAGCATGGCCTGAGTGAGGGCAGAAAGTTTAGCAGCGGAGCGGGAAAGTGACCAGCTAGGCAAGCCTCCAGCAGCACTGCTTGCACTCCATGGCCTGCCTGGGGTAAACAGTGGACCTAAGGGTTCATAGGTGCTCCAGAGAGGGACAAGGAGGTACTAAGAGGGCCCAGAGTTAAGAAAAAGATACCACATTGCCCCCAAATGCCACTGGGGACCAGTGGTGCAGAGTGAATCAACTGATGACTATGATACACCGTTCAGTTTGTCCTCTGTCATCAGAATAAATATCAGATATCATCATCGAGGAAAGCACAAAGAAGAGAGAGCTTTTGAGAGCTGTTTACCTAGAATTTAAATTCATCATGTTCACTTTAGTACCTCTTTAAATGCTCAATTCCTGTGAAAACATGTATTATAACCCAGTGCTCTCACTCTAAAAGCTATGGTAGAAGGTGTGGAGTTTTAAGTGTGGAAGAGGGTATGTGGTAAATAGAAAAGGTAAATAGAAAGCTTTTTAAAACTCTGGGTCAATGCACACACATATCCACATGCAGAATGCACAAATGAACTCTACGAGGGCTCTGGCACTAACAAACTGGCAGTACCTGGACTACAGATTCAGCAGGAACAAGTCCACAAACTGAGCAGGCGGTTAATGAGCTTAGCATCCATCATCCCTGGCTCGCAGTATGGCCCTGGAATTCTTTGTTGCAATAAAATATAAAAGAGAACCTGAAAAGAAGCTTGGCTATGAGCAAATAAGGCTTCCTTCATTTGCCTGGTCCCGCAGGCTCTCTGTTGCAGTGGCGGCAAGCCCACCCAGATGGGATGTGCTCTGCAACTTCAAGCAGCCCTGTCACCAGTGAGGGTGGCAGCAATGCTCCAGGCCCCTTGGACAGGGGAGGTAAGAAGGCATGCCATCTGGTCCTGCCCCCCTTGCTAACCTGGGCAGCGGGTGCATTCCTCAGTTCCCTCTGACCCATGGGCTGTCCTGAAGTGAACTCTGCTCAACTCCATCCCCTCTGCTCGCCTGCTCCCTGCAGAGTGAGCCCGCCCCTTGCTGGCTAGGCCTTCCCTGCCTTATTTGGTTTAAATTACTTTTTTGAACTTTGGTCTCATTATTTTTGGACCGTCATTTGGTCTGGAAGATTTTCTTTCCACGGGTTCCTTCTGTTCTTCCTTTTCACCCTCTTGAATGCGCTTCCCAAGGCCTCTTTCTGCAGTTTCTTTTGGGTGGTTTTTATTACCTTCATGCATCTAATCTGAGTAGGGAGAAGCTCCAAGATCATTGTTATCTTCCCCCTTGGAATCCTGCTTGTTTGGTTGTTATGGGAGCTTCTCCGTTTAAAGGGCTGGGGAACTCTGCTTCTCCAGGAGCTCGTGACCCAGCTCCCAGAATGGCCTTTTCCAACACAACATGAGAAACCAGCTTCAGCAGCAACCCTGCAGGGCCACAGCCCATCCTCACTCTCAGAAACAGATCCGTAGATCTGGGGCCGCCCCTCTAGGAATATGACTAAAGATACCATGGCACTACTTCTTTCTCTCCTCTGGTAGCAAGCGTTTGATTTTGTAGTTGAACTGGTTTGGATGGTTCAGGCTGCAAGTAACAGAATATATCTCAACTGGCTTAAGCAATTAAGAAAACATTATCTCCCATAACAAAAGTCTATGGGTAGGACAATTCTGAGGCTGGTGAATTCAGAGTTCACTGACATCAACAAGGCCCTGGTTCTTTCTGTCTTCCTGCTCTAGCACCCTCATGTCTAACCCATGGTCTTTGGGTTAGCTAACCTACTGGTGAAACATGACTACCATAATCTTACCCATTGCTATGGTCTGAGTGTTCGTGTTCCCCCCAAATTTCTATGTTGAAACCTAACCACCAATGTGATAATATTAAAAGGTGGGGCCTTTGGGAAGTGATTCGGTTATGAGGGTGGAGGCTTCATGATTGGGATTAGTGCCTTTAAAAAAGAGGTTCCGGAGGCCTGTCTTGCCCCTTCCACTATGTGAGGACACAGTGAGAAGCACCATCTATTAACTGGGAAGCTGGCTCTCACCAGACATTGAATCTGCCAGTGTCTTGATCGTGGACTTCCTAGATTCCAGAACTGTAAGAAATAAATTTCTGTTGTTTATAAGCTACTTAGTTTATGGTACTTTGTTATAGAAGCCCAAAAGACCAAGACACCCAGACAGCACAACATCCAACAGAAAAGAGAGCTCATCTATTCGCACATGAATCCACCTTTCATGGGAACCCCTCCATGGGATAAGGCCTGCTCTCACATCTTACTGTCCATGCCCAAACCAATTTCTATCAAGCAGAATGGACCACTATTGACTCGGATCAACCATAAATAAAGTTCTGGGGTTGAAGATGGGGCTCCATCTTTCCAGAAGTTCACAACTTCACAGAGGAAGGCAGAGGCCTGAACCCACCAGTAGACCTTTTAAAAGAGAGGAAAGGGGGAGTGTGCTGATGGACAGACTCACAGCTCTGTCTGCTACCCTGTAAGGGAAAATCCAGATTTCTGCCATAAAGTTTTTGTCCCTGTATTTCTGATTCACCCTACTTCTCTCCAGTAACGCTAATGTTTTTTGTTTTCTACTGTCTCTCTATTTTTTATGTCTCCTGGGGAGGCAGAATAGTATAGCAATGAAGTACTTGAATTTAGAGTTAATTAATCCTGGATTTGAGACCTAGCTCTACCATTTACTAGCTGGGAATATTTTTCAAGTTACCTTACCTTATCCCTCTGGATTTTTGTTTTCTCATTCAGAATAGCAAATAATAATAGCAACCACTTATACAGAGATTACTATATACCAACAAGTCTCCTAAGTCTTCACATATATCAACACATTTAAGTTGCAGTGAGATAGATATTCCTACTCCCCGCTT